TTTTCACCGTTTCCCCAAAAATGTCCCTTGACAATGGAAACGGCAAAAAACGGCGACCGGAAACGGCAAAAAACGGCTCCAGGATTGGAACCGGAGCCGGAACCGGTCAAAAAACGGCGACGGAACCGGTAAAAAAACGGGTCGGAACCGGCAAAAAAACGGCAAAACGGAACTGGTAAAAAAACGGCCCTGTCGTTTCCAGGGCCCACTAAGGTGTCGGCCACATGTGGCTGTGCGCATGTCGAACGCACGAGCAACCATCGCGCACCCGCCGTCTTTGTCAAATGATGCCGTGCGGGCCACTCGCGCGCGTCTCCGCGCGCGCGCGTCGCACGTCATGCACAGCGTGCTGTTCCACACGGAGGTGCCCAGCCACACATGAGTCAAGGGCATAAAAAACGCCCCTACCCTGGTTTACGAGGCGCTGTGCGCTGAAACTCCCGTGGGCTGACAGGGTAAACCCTGCGTGATGTGCCGCGTCCTGGCGGCTCTAGGCTTTGGGGGGTCCCAGGAGGTTTTTATAGACCTCGCACTTGTAACCCAGGGTAGGGTCGTTTTTCCATCCCTCAAATGAGAGCCCAACTGTTTCCCAACGACGTTATGTCAGGGTTTCGGGATCGCTGCGCGTGCGCACTTTCGGATCGTCACCAGCACCATCGTCATCATCATCATCATCATCATCATCATCATCATCATCATCATCATCATCATCATCCTCATCCTCATCATCATCATCATCATCCTCATCCTCATCCTCATCCTCATCCTCATCCTCATCCTCATCCTCATCATCATCATCATCATCATCATCATGATCATGATCATCATCATCATCATCATCATCATCATCATCATCATCATCATCATCATCATCATCATCGCTAGGGTCGTCACTGTCGCCGTCATCGCCATCACCTTCAGCTTCATAACTATCATGGCTTTGTCGTCGACATCGTCCCAGCCGTCTTCGTGGTTATCGTGTCATCGTGGTTGTCGTCGCCCAGTTGGGTGACGGAACAAAACAGGGTCGGTTGAGCGGACATTCGCGCGTAAGTTTCACGCGTAAGGTCGCGCGGAAGCGCCTTCTTCTCCACGCGGTGTGCCACGGTGGCAGCCCGCGCAGGCCGCTGCATAAGGTCGTTGTGCCTTCTCGCGTACGACCCGTTTGTTTGCAACCATCCTGTGGTGTGGGGTCCCCGTTTTGAAGAGACGGTCCCCGCGTTCTCCTCCTTCCTCCCTCCTCCTCCCTCCTCCCTGCGTTCAAGCCAGTACAGCGCTTCGTGGCCACATAGGGAGCTCCCCGCGTTCCTTCTTTCGGTCCTTCCTTCCGTCCTGCCTCTGCCCCCTCCTCCCTCCCATCCTTGCCTCTGCTCCCCGTGCCAGACGACCACGTCGGCACGCCCCTCACACGCTTCGTGACCCCACAGGGAGCTCCACCGAAGGCCCCAGTGGCGGTATCCACTCGCGTCACCGCCACCCATCTCGGCACGCCTTTCACGCGTTTCGTGGCTCTCTGGACAGTTCCACCGGAGGTCCCAATGGTGGTGTCCACATGCATCCCCGCCGCCTAGTTCGGCACACCCCTCACACGTTTCGTGCCCCCACAGGGAGCTTCACCGAAGGCCCCAGTGGCGGTGTCCACATGCGTCCCTGCCACCCATTCGACACACACGCTTCGTGGCCCCATAGGCAGCGCCACCGAGGACCGTGCTCTCAACTGCGTTACTCACAACTGCATATGGCTGGGTTAATTGTACGGCTAATCATCCCTGTCCTTCTGCCTCTGCCCTCCGCTTGCCCCTGCGTGTGCTGTGCCTTCCGCGCTTCGCTGATGCAGGTCACCCATCACACGTTCCGTGGCCCCTACTAGGGAGTTCCACCGAAGGTCCCAGTGGCAGGGTCCACATGCCCCCCCGCCGCCCATTCAGGTACACCCGTTTACACGTTTCGTGGCCCAGGGAGTTCTTCCGAAGGCCCAAGTGGCAAGTGGCAAGGGCCCGCATGCGTCCCCCCACCCATCTTGGTACAGGTACACGCCATTTTCGCTTTGTGGCCTTCTAGGCGGTTCCACCAGAGGTCCCATTAGCAGGGTTCGCATGGCGTCCCTCCACCGATTCAGGTACACCCGTTTACACGTTTCGTGGCCCAGGGAGTTCGTCCGAAGGCCCAAGTGGCAAGTGGCACGGGTCCGCATGCGTCCCCCCACACATCTTGGTACAGGTACACGCCATTTTCGCTTTGTGGCCTTCTAGGCGGTTCCACCAGAGGTCCCATCAGCAGGGTTCGCATGGCGCCCCTCCACCCATTTCGGCACACATGTGTCGTGGCCCCGTAGGGAGCTTCACTGAAGGCCCCAGGGACAGGGTCCGTGTGCGTCCCCGCCGCCGATTTCGGTACACTCCTGACAGGCTTCACGGCCTCATACGGGGCTCCACCGAAAGCCCCAGCTGCAGAGCTCTCAGAAGGCTTTTGGCAAGCCGCCGCGAGGGCTTCTGATAGGGCCCCTACTTTCTAAGGGCAACCCGCCTTCTGAGAAGGGCCCCCCCTCGCCCCACCCCTTCTTGTGCGCGCCGCCACGACAGAGTGCCCCAAGATGTTAACAGGATGGCACCAGGTGGCGTCTTGTCAGGACTCGTGGGGCCAACCAGGAGAGACAACCTGCGGCTTACGAAGTGCATGTCCCCAGAGAAGGTCTCGTCCTCCGATCGTGTGGTAGTTGCTGTGAGCCAGTCTACCGCAATCTTCTGGCCGTTCCAGACCAGGGTGGTGGTGTGTGTGTGTGTGTGTGTGTGTGTGTGTGTGTGTCTTGGGGCCGTCCCGGGACCTCCCAGGCCCGCGCCCGAGCTGGATCGGTGGGTGTAACCCCATCCGTCATCATCCTTAATCCGCTTTTCAAGCGCACAGGCCGATCGCCAGCTTGTCCAGCTTCGTCCGCAGTCTTTCTGTGTTACCGCATACCTTACTGCGAGTCTTCTCCAGGCTCATTGTGAAGGCCTTACGGCCCGTGCCGCCGACCCTGACGACGACGACGAGGACGACGAGGCGGAGGAGAGGGAGGAGCAGGAGGAGGAGGAGGAGGAGCAGGAGGAGGCGGAGGACGCGGCGGAGCAGCAGGATGGGGAGGAGGAGGATGCGGAGGAGGATGAGGAGGGGTACCAGGGGCATGTGGAGGACGGGGGGGAAGGAGCAGTAGGAGGACGAGGAGAAGGGGAGTCGGAGGAGCAGGAGAATAAGGAGGACGCGGAGGAGGGGAAGGGGGGGCAGGAAGAGGAGGAGGAGGAGGAGGAGGAGGAGGAGGAGGAGGAGAGGAGAGGAGGAAGGAGGGGGAGGAGGAGGATGGGAAGGACGAGGTCGAGGTAAGGCTGCGGAACATCGGGGGAAGAGCACGCGGGGGAGGGGGGGGCATGTTGAGGATGATGATCAGGAGGATGAAGATGAGGAGGATGCGAAGGAGGTGGATGAGGAGGAGGGAAAAGGGTGAGGGGAGCAGGAGGAGGATGAGGAGGTGGAGGAGTGGGGGGAGCAGGAGGAGGAGGAGGAGGAGGAGGAGGAGGAGGAGGAGGAGGAGGAGGAGGAGGAGGAGGAGGAGGAGGAGGAGGAGGAGGAGGAGGAGGAGTGAGAGCAGGGGGGGCAGTGGGAGGAGGACGCCGTGGAGCAGGAGGGGGAGGATAAGGAAGAGCATGCGGAGGAAGATGAGGAGGGGGAATTGGGGCAGAATGAGGTCGGGAAGGACAATGAGCAGGTGGAGGTAGATGAAGACGAGGCGGAGGAACAGTTGGAGGAGGTTGAGCAGCAGGGGGAGGAGAGGATATTTGTCGGGGTCCCTTCGGAGAGCTTTCGGGGGCCTCTGGTGGGCAGTTTGGGTGCGTTTAGGGAGACTCTTGGGGTGCTTCTTGGGGGCCTCTCAGGGGCCTCCAGGGGCTTCCTGGGGGCATCTTGGGGGAGTCGTCGAGGCCTCTTGGGGCTTCCTGTAAACTTCTTTGGGGCGAGGGCTCGAGATGCCCGTTTGGGTCCCCCGTCTGGGCAGCCTCTTCGAGCCGTATTGGGTGCCTCTTGGCCCATTTTGGAGGCGTCTCGGGCCGTCTTGGAGCTCGAAGACTCGCAGAAGTTTACCTGACAGCCTTTGACATTCTACCATGCCTCAACGTGCCAGGGGGGGCACGGTTTTGGAATGTCAGATTAAATAGCAGACGAAATATTGAATGACGGACAGTGCAATGGGTGAAAGACCTCGAGCTGGTGACACATGTCGAATCTAGTAGTAGTCATCGAGCGAACATGCCATATCAAAATTTCCCGAACACATGACAGCACAAACGTACCGCACCACAGTTGTAGACGAAGCACCACACGACGATGACAGATGATGGTTGCAGCATTCATTGCCCTGAAACATAGAGCTGCCGTACCATCTCTTCTGCCACCACTTGCAACAGGCACCGATAGTCCAGCAAGCAAGACAGACGTATTCACAGGAACGACGCCAACATGACCCATTGCACTAGCATACTAAAAGCAAGGAGCAACAGCAGAGGGCTCGCCATCCCAGCAGCGCGTGCCCGCGCGCGCAGGGTATCCGACAGAGCACCGGCGACCTTACGGCGCCCAGATTGTCCAGCCTTCCCGCACGCTTTTGGGCGGATCCACACGGCGCGGGTCACGCGACCTCCGCGCCGACGATTGCGGGCCTTTGAGGGGCACTGCTGGGCCACTTGAGGGGGGCGCTGCAGGCAGCTGGGCGTCACCTGGAGGGGGATTTGGCTCAGCAGACTTACGTACAGTCAAGACGCCGCTGGAAGGAAAACAGTTCTGGTTGTGAAGAGGAGCGTCGTTCCTTGGGCCCTTCCATGGTTGTTTCTCCAGCGCTCCGCGTGCCCCAGGCGCTTGGGGACCAAGGAGGAGCTTCTTACCATGTCTAGCGTTCTGTATGGTAGTAGCTTGACTGGATTGGGCCACTGCTTAGCCACTGCTGGGCCCGGTGAAGAGAAAAAAGCGGGCCGCAGCCTGCCGCCGCGGGCTCCGCGGCGGACCTCGTGAGGCCCGACGGCGCCGGAGGCGGACCGGAGCCCTGGGAAAGCAAAGCGGCGCTTGTCTGCACCAATCCGTGCTCCATGCTCTTCCTTCTCACCCCACATGCCTTTCCCCTCCCCCCGTCCTCTCCTCCTACCTGCTCCCTCCTTCTCCACCTTGTCCTCCCTTCCCTCCTTCCTCCTTTCCCTGCTTCCGCCCTCCTTCCTTCCTGTTCCATCCTTCTCTCCCCCGTCCTCTTCCTCCATTCTCTCTTCATTTCTCCTCTCTCGTCCCGCCGACTTCCCTCACCCGCCTTCTTCTTTCTACTCGAATAGAAAGCACGCCCGCTACCGTTCTGGCTCACAGCGTGCACGCGATATTGTACATTGAAGGGCAAACGACATACGTTCTGATATCTCTCACCTTACCATTGCCGCCATGTCTTCCACCTTTCACCCGTGCCACCCGCAATTCTAGTTGGTAGCGGAGCTGGGAGCGATCCTGGGTCTCAGCTCGCGATCCACGGGATTGTGCATAGTGCGATGTGCATGTGGACGCACATTCGCACTTTGCCCAAGGTTTGTCAACGCTATCACCCTCCGTCCCCTGAGCCGATAGTGATTATCGCTGTTTTGCAAGCCTCCGGATACTTCGCCTTGGGCGGTCACAGGCCACGATGAGGCCAACGCCTGACCGTGTGAGAAGTGTGAGAGTACAGGTGCCAGGGCGAAGAGGCTCCAGGCTTCGCGATGTGGAGCGACCCGCGCACGGGAACGCCACGATGCTTCCACGACCAATCGCACCTTGTAGGCACTGGCCGTAGCTTCTTGTCGGGCGTGCGGCGAAGTTCATTCCTGGACCAATACCGTGCCTCGTGATGTGTGCGGCTGTGCTGGCTGTCTCCTATGCGAGCACGTCGCACCCTTCGGGTGGAACGCTGCACGTCAATGCATTATTTTCACCGCTCATGGCTTCGTCCAAGGTTGCTAACACTTTTGCGGCTTTCACATGCTTCAACATGGTGTTCGTCCATGCGCAGGCCCGATCCCCAAGACGCTTGTAGACTTTTACCGAGGACGGTCCGCATCTTGGCGCCAGGGGGCAACAGACTATTGATCACAAGCGTGATGTCGCCGATGCATGTTCTTTTCCCCCTTGTGGACCGCGGCCGGCCAGACACGCATCCAGCGAACGCTGCAGACACCACGCCGTGATGCACTCAGCACGCCGGCCACGCCACGACAGTTGTTCACTTGGGTTGTTCGCTTCGTCCGCCCCATTGACCAGTTCGGCAACTCCGAGCTGCCGTACGTCGTGTTATTCAAGCTTTTTCTCGAAGCAGGGTTCGATGGAGACTTCATCACCCTATACCACAAACTTCTTCCAGGGTGAGGCGTCCAGGCGCGCCGCAGGGTAGCAATACCGAGCGCGATTAACAGGCAATCTGGGCAGAGCTGTGCCACCCACTTGACGACAAGGCCTATTGCCCCACGCTCTGGTGCATGCTGTGCGCCGTGGCGTTTGGATTCACGATGCGGACACAGCGCGGTTATCTTTGCAGCTCCAACTGTCCTCTCCCTCAGGACTCGCTGCAGGGGAGCACGCCTGCGCATTGCCACTGTTCGGCGGTGCAGGCCCCGCGGTGCGCGCCACCCACGTACCATGCGCTGCTCAGCGCGTCTGGGGCATCGTCCATGCCCGGCGATGCAGCTTCGCAAGCACGGTGTGGTATGCTCTTGCACCTCCCAGGCGTCGTGCTGCGCACTCTGGGGGATCGTTTGTGCCCGGCGGTGCCAGCGCACGCGCCGTGCTATGCCCGCGCGCACCCGCGCGGGTTGTAGTGCACTTTGGGCAATCGTATGCCAAGCTGTGCGCTGGAGCTTGCGCAAAAGTAGAGGCATGCCACGCCCGTGCCCAACCATGAGCTGTGCCACGCACGCTGGGGCGCCATTTTGCCCAGCTGCGCGCGTTAGAAGGCGCAGGCTGGCGCACCAAACGCACCCGTGCCTGGCCAAGCTCGTCTGCATCCAGGTCCTAGAATGCATGCTGGCACCGACGTTGGCTTGTCCCAACAACGCGCAGGCTACAATCGGCTATGTCACACAGGATGCAGCTCGCAGTGGGGCTGCATGCGGGCCGGGTCGGCCAGCGTGCGATTTCAGCCCGCGCCCTCATTTGCCAGTTTGCAAGCCTGTCTCTGCATCTCTATCTTAATCCACCTAGTCAAACCATTCCACTGGGGCCTCCGGTGGAGCTCCATATGGGGGCACGAAGCGTTGTACTGAGTGTGGGGAACGCATGCGGACACCGCCCTGGGGCCTTCGGTGGAGCTCCCTGTGGGGCACGAAGCGCTGTGTTGGATGGGGGAAGCGCATGCGGAAACCGCCATTGGGGAATTCGGTGGAGGTCCCTGAGGGGTGACGAAGCGTTGGGCTGGGTGGGGAAACGCATGCGGGCACCGCTATTGGTGCTGTCGGTGGATCTCCCTATGGGGCCACGAACCGTTGTACCGGGCGGGAATGGCCTTCGGAGGATTTCACTATGGGGCCACGAAACGTGTGAGGGGTGTGCCAGAGTGGAGCGGGGGGCGGCTTGCGAACCATGCCGCTAGGGCCTTCGATGGAGCTTCCTGATGGGGCCACGAAACGAGAGAGTGGTGGCAAAATGGAGGGGGAACGGCATGCGGACAAAGCCATTGGGGCTTTCGGTGGAGGTCCCTAGGGGGCTACGGAACGTCACTGGGGCCTTCGGTGGAGCTCTCTGTGGTTCTTCGGGCCACGAAGCGTGTGAGGGGTGTGCCAGAATGGAGGCGGACAGCATGCGGACACCGCCACTGGGGCTTTCGGTGGAGCTCCCGCTGGGGCCACGAAGCGTATGAGGGGTGCGCCAACCTGGAGGGGGGGCGGCATGCGAACCGTGCCATTGTGGCCTTTGGCGGAGCTCCTTATAAAGGCCACGAAACGTGTGACGGGTGTGCCAAAATGGGGGGGGGCGGGCGGCACGCGGACCATGCCAGTGGAGCCTTCGGTGGAGCTCCCGATGGGACCACGAAGCGGTGGGGGTGTGCCAAAGTGAGGGGGGGGGCGGAGCGAGGGAGGAGGGAGGGGGAGGAGGGGGGAGGAGCAGGAGGAGGAGGAGGAGGAGAGGAGGAGGAGGAGGAGGAGGAGGAGGAGGAGGAGGAATAGCAGCAGCAGCAGCAGAGGAGGAGGAGGAGGAGGAGGCGGAGGAGAGTTAGGAAGAGGAGAGAGGCGAGGCGAGGCGAGGAGAGGAGAGGAGAGGGGATGAAGGAGAGGAGATGAGATGAGATGAGATGTGATGAGAGGAGAGGAGAGGAGAGGAGAGGAGAGGAGAGGAGAGGAAGGAGAAGAGAGGAAGGAGAAGAGAGGAGAGGAGAGGAGAGGAAACGAGAGGAGAGGAGAGTAGAGGAAAAGAGAGGAGAGGAGAGGAGAGGAGAGGAGAGGAGAGGAGAGGAGGACGTGGGGCACCGTCTCTTCAAAACGAGGATCCAACACCACAGGATGGTTGGGAACAAGAGGGGACGGAAGAGTGAGGGACTTGGAGGAGGAGGACGAGACGGAAGGCAGGAGCAAGAAGGACAAGGAGGATCAGGGGGAGGAGGGAGAGGAGGGAGGATAACGGAGGAGGAGGAGGAGGAGGAGGAGGAGGAGGAGGAGGAGGAGGAGGAGAAGAATGGAGGACAACGTAACACGAAGCGACAGAAGGCTAGTCAGTGCCTCGCAACAATCCCGTTTCGCCCTCGTCGTCTTCATTTTCACCGTTTAGATAATGTGGGAGAGGGGTGGCGATACAGGGGCTGGCGCAGGTGGAGTCGGAGGGATTGAGGGGATGGGTCACGAAAGGAGAAGCAAGGGGATGGAAGGGGACGCAGGAGATTAGAGGAGAGAGGAGTGAGTGGGAGATCAGGGCGATGGGGATGAAGAGGCTCTCACAGTCTGGAGTTTGGGCTGTCGCGAGCGAATCTTATTGCTGGCGCAGCTGGCCCGATACTGCGTGCATCGACTTTGGATGCCTTCTCGGGCCGTCAGGGGCACTCTTCGGTCCCGAACCCGCCCCCAGGGTAGCCGTCCGGAGCCCGAGGGAGGGACGAGCCCGTCTTCGCAGGGGAACGGCGATTTGTTGGAGAACCGATCCGCCAAACCACCCAGGCGCAAAGGGCTGGTGAGGTTGGTTGGGGTTGGTCTGGGCACCAGCGTCGTGCTCGAATGTTGCGCCTTGCCCGGCCACTTCCTGCATGTCCTGCTGCTGCCTCTTGTCGCTCACCTTGTCCCGCCGCTTTTGCTCCTAGTTTCTCCTTGTCCCACTCTGTCTGCTTCTCCTGCGCCTGCGTCCTTCTTATTCAGGCTCCTCCTCATCTCCCCCTCCTCGCCCTCGTCCGTCCCCCCTCCTCTCCCTCCCTCCCGCCCCCCCTCGAGGAGACCAGCGCAGGCATGCCCCGCCTCGGGGACGCAGAGGACGGCGGCGGCCCGGCGCCGCCGCTGGAGGCCGTGAGGCGTGCTCACCGCCCTCTTGAGGGGAGGAGGGGGTTAGAATGTACTGCTTCGTTTTGCTGTTCGCGGAGCACAGACCCAGTTGTTTCCCGATCCTCCCGCGTGTTGGGCCCTCGCCCGTGGCCATTTTGGCTCAGGCCATGGTGCGCACAACCCGTTTTAGGATGGAGCATTTTGATTGCGCAGATTTGTTTCGAAGAGGCTGGTGGGCTACGTGACCAGCTCGAGCGCACATGGGGCGACGCTTCAACGACCTCGGGGCCTGGGTGAGGCTGCTGGAGAGGAAGGTTGCAAGTTTCTCCCCCAGATTTGACGGCCTTCACGGTTGATGATCAGGCGTATGCAGAGGCGCAGTTGGTGAGCCATCGTACGCAAATTGACCACAACCTCTTGCACGGATGGCCGCACCACCACCTTTCCCCTGCTGCCTTCGTCGTCCGACGCGAGGTTGGAGCGCGGGCGCATCGGCACGCTCGACGGGTACATCGACGCGCGGTTGGAGAACGGGGCTGGAGCATGGAGGAATTGCTGCGCCCACGGCGTGTGCACACGAACCGGCACGCCATCGTCGTCCAGGACCCGTACATTGGAGGGGCCTTCGTCGGTCACGCGGGTCGTCGGGCGTCACTCGGACGAGGATTCCTTGACGCAGCTCGTCGAGTAGCACGGTCTAGCGCAACATACGCAGCTCTCTGCGTCATTGAATTTCTCCATGTCGCGCATCAGGTTTCGCCGCAGCTGCAGAGCCTGCGGCGGATCATACGCGGCATGTTGCGAGTACTTCTTAGCGTATTGGCTCACCTTGCTCTTCACGCTCCCAGCGCCTGCAGCCTTGGCTTCGGTCCCTGAGTGTGGCCGTGATACTGTCCCTTGCCCACTGTCAGGTCACTATAGCCCCAGCTGGCCGCACTGGCGCGCTCATCCTGAAACGCATTCAGTTGTGAATGCCCCTCCTCCCCGCGCGCCCCCTCCTGCAGCCAGACAGTTAGTTTGTCGCGCGCTCCCGACGGATCGAGCGCCCGTTCGGATTGCCTCTGGCGTGCCGCGACGGAGAAAGCGTACTGGGCCCTCGCTTTGAATCCGCAGTGCCGTGTGTCTCCTCTTTCTTCTGCTCCTCTTCCCCTTCCGCCCACTACTTCCTCATCGTTGTCGTCCTTCTTCGCATGTCGGCACGCCCTTTACATGTTACGTGGCCTCGCAGGGATCTCCGCCGAGTGCCCCCGTGGCAGCGTCCGCGCGGTTGCCCGCCCAAATTCGGCGCACCCGTCGCACGCTTCGTCTCCCCATAGGGCGCTCCGCCGAATGCCCCAGTGGCAGCGTCCGCAAGGTTACCCGCCCCATTCTGGCATACAGTTCGCACGCTTCGTGACCCCATGAGAATTTTCGCCGCCCCAGTGGCAGCGTCCGCATGGTTACCCGCCCCATTTGTTGGCGCATCCCTCATGCGTTTCGTGTTTCCTTGGGGCGTTCCACCGGAGCTCCGCCGAAGGCCACAAGCGCGGCGTCCACATGACCCCGCCTCATTTTGGCAGACCCCTCACACGTATCGTGTACCCATAGGCAGCTCCGCGGAATGCCCCAGAGGAAGTGTCCACACAGTTATCCGCCCCATTTCGGTAGACCACTCCCATCTTTCGTGGCCCCACAAGGAGCTCCACCGAAGGCCACACGCGCTGCGTCCGCGTTGTTGCCCGCCCCATTTCGGCAGACCCCTCCTTCGTGGACCCATAGAGAGCTCCGCCGAAGGCCCCAGTGGAAGCGCCCGCACATTTATCCGCCCCATTCCGATAGACACCTCACGTGTTTCGTGGACCCGGGGAGCTCCGCCGAAGGGCCCAGTGTCTGCGCCCGCATGCGGCCCCACCGCACTTTGGCAGGCCACTTCACCTATCGTGGCCCCGTAGGGAGCTCCACGGACGGGTCCAATCGCCGCGTCTGCGTGCAGGTCCCCTATGTCGGCGCACCCCTCACACGATTCGTGGCCCCATAGGCCATATGGAGCTCCGCCGACGGCCCCAGTGGCAGCGTCCGCACGGTTACCCGCCCCATGTCGGCACAGCTTTCCCGTGTTTCGTGGCCCCATAGGGAGGTCCGCCGGGGGTCCCACATGGCAGCGCCCGCATTGTTCACCCGCCCCATTCCGGCAGAGCCTTCATACGTTTCGTGACCCCATAGGGAGCTCCGCCGACGGCCCCAGTGGCAGCGTTCGCATGGCTACCCGCCCCATTTTTGGCGCACCGCTTATACGATTTGTGTTCCCATAGGGTGCTCCGCCGAAAAAACCCAGTGGCTGCGTCCGCATGGCCCCGCCTCATTTCAGTAGACCTTTCGCACGGTTCGTGGACCCGTAGGGGGCTCCGCCGAAGGCCCCACCGGCAGCGTCCGCACGGCTAGCCGCCCCATGTCGGCAGAGTTTTCATACGTTTCGTGCTTCCACAGGGGGCCTTCGCCGAAGGCCCCTCTTGTAGCGTCCGCATGGTTACCCGCCCCACTTTGGCGCACCTCTCATACGGTGCGTGTTCCAATAGGGTTCTCCGCCGAAGGGCCCAGTGGCTGCGTCCGCCTGGCCCCGCCTCATTTGGGTAGACACCTCCCGTGATTCGTGGCCCCATAGGGAGCTCCGCCGAAGCCCCCACTGGCAGCGTCCGCACGGTTAGCCGCCGCATTTCGGCAGAACCCTTCACGTTTCGTGGACCCATAGGTCGCTCCACCGAAGAGCCCAGTGGCTGCGTCCGCATGCGGCCCGCTCCATTTCGGCGCACTCCGCCACACGTTTCGTGACCCCATAAGCAGCTCCACGGACGGCCCCAGTGGCTGCGTCCGCACGTCGTGGAGCGGTCCTGCTGATAGCTGCCGCTCTTTTACAAAGGTTGGATTCGCGTTGCTTCCGCGATAGATCGCTCTCGCGGGCCTGAGGGCTCTCGACCTGGCGGGCAGAGTCGCACGAACCACAGCCGAGCACGCGGCCAGACGGCCCCTCGATCGAGTTCCGCCGGCGCCAGCAGCAGGAGCATCCCCATGACAGACATGCCGAAGTGGTTGGCAACCTGACGCCAGTGGCGAGGAGCTGACGTGCAGAGATTGGTGGCCGAGGTTGGCAGAGGAAGGTACATGCCACGATGCAAATCGGGAGGGCAGAGAGACCAGAGGAAGCACAGGGGGGCATGGGTTTGGCCATCCCTGTCGCGACCACGCCTCGCGTCCAGAAGCCTGGAAGCTGGAGGGCAGCGGCACTTGTGTCACCGACTGCAAACATGCACGAGCCTCCCAAGGTTGGGTTCTTCGCCATTCCGACTTGTCAGCAAACGATGGGGGAGGCGCCGGCAAAGGAGATGTGGAGGAGGAGGAGGATGTAGAGGAGGTTCGATTTTCGAGACTCCAGGCTTGTGTCGCCTTCTGGGGGTGGCCCAGCGAGGAGGAAGAGGTGGAGGAGGAGGAGGAGGACGAGGATGGGTAGGTTCTAACTTCGTGGTTCGAGGTCTGTGGTGCTTGCTTTTGGAGGGAGCCTGGGGTCGTGGACGGGTCGCGTGACGACGAGAACGACGACAAGGAGAATCCGCATCGTGGAACCTGATGTCAGCCTTGCATCCAGAGACAATGCCATAGCGATCGCCCCCCTCTTTTTCAACATGGCTCGACGACCTAAATGGTGTTTTAGCGATCTCGTGAACCGTTTTCGTTTTGATATCGTTTTGAAGCAAAGGCGGAACGAAGACAACATGAAGGGAAACGAACGCAAAGCGCAAACGGAACACACCGTTTAGGTCGAGCCCTGTTTTTCGATGATCAGGTCGAGCCCTGTTTTTCGATGATCAGGGGACTTTGGGCGACATGGTGTACTGTGGCATCAGTGCTGTGTGCCCTCTTCGTCCTCGTCGCTGTCCTCTCGGTCATCCTTGTTTTTCTCTTTATCTCTGTCTCTCTCACTCTCTTCGTATCTCTCTCATCGTCTTCGATTTCTTTCTAGAGGAACTGTACAGCCACGGCGACTCCCTGGGCATTTCCCAGGGTGCGCCCTGACCAGGATTCGGAGGCGATTCTGGCCGTGGCGCCGCCACTTCCCAACATAGGGGAACACACACCAGGGCGACACCGAGGGAAGAGCATCAGCATCTTCTCACAGATGCCGAGTTAGCTCTGCCACGCCCTGGCTGCTGCTACATTACCACGCTCTGTGCCTTCGGGCCGCTGCTGACACGAACATTACTATTATTATCATTATTATTCTTCTTCTTATTATTATTATCATTATTATTATTACTATTATTATGATTATTCCTATTGCTATATTTTCATTATTAGTATTATTAATATTATTATTAATATCATTATCATTATCACTATGTTTCTTGTTATTCTTGTTATTGTTCTTCTTCTTTTCTTGTTCATCGTATCAATATTTTTTATGCTTCTTGTTCTTCTTCTTCTTCTCTCTTGCTCCTCGCCCTTGGCGGCCCGCGCGCGCCCCCGAGGCTTGTGGCACCCTCCGTGCCCCACGCCGCCCACGAGGGCGACGGCTCCGCCGGCTTCCGGGAGGCCGCCGGCCGCCCCCCCCCCGGCGCGCAAGGAGCGCGTTCTCCGGCAAAACAGGGTCGACACCCCGGGAAAATTCTGGTCGCCCGAAATGGGTACCGAAAGAATGGGTACAATGCCCAACAGCAGTTCTTGTTCATTTTGAACAGGACTCGCTGTCCACGCCGCCGCGGCCTGTGTCCATTCGAGACAGAAGGCCGCCTGCCCAAAAGCGGCCGCTGTTGGTTTGGGACAACATTTGTTGTTGGGCATAGTACCCATTCTTTTGGTACCCATTTCGGGCGTCCAAAAAAACGGGACGTTCTACGTGTGGTTTTCTTGATCTTCATCGGCTTCCGAGGATTCTGACAGAAGGGCTGGTTCTCCAGGTGAAACCCCAGCAAGGATCTTCGAACTTGTGTCGAACCTCAACCTATCAAACACAAATGCGATCCTTTGAAGGAGTCAACTACGATTTCGCACCATTCTTGCCAGGGCGACCCGTAGAAGCAACTCATCGTGGTAATGGTTGATGATGTGACGAATCAGTTGTCGTAGTCGAGCAGCAGTAGTAGTAGGCGTAGCAGCAGTGCTGGTAGTAGTAACGGTAGTATTCGTCGTCGTCGTCGTCGTAGTAGTAGTAGTAATATTACGAGTAGTAGTAGTAGTAGTAGTAGTAGTAGTAGTAGTAGTAGTAGTAGTAGTCGTAGTCGTAGTCGTAGTCGTAGTCGTAGTAGTAGTAGTAGTAGTAGTAGTAGTAGTAGTAGTAGTAGTAGTAGTAGTATTAGTAATAGTAGTAGTAGTAGTAGTAGTAGTAGTAGTAGTAGTAGTAGTAGTAGCAGCAGTAGTAACAGTAGTAGTAGTAGCAGCAGTCGTAGCCGTAGTAGTAGGAGTCGTAGTAGTAGTAGTAGTAGTAGTAGTAGTAGTAGTAGTAGTAGTAGTAGTAGTAGTAGTAGTAGTAGTAGTAGTAGTAGTAGTAGTAGTAGTAGTAGTCGTAGTAGTAGTAGTAGTAGTAGTAGTAGTAGTAGTAGTCGTACTATTACGACTACTACTACTACTTTTACTACTACTACTACTACTACTACTGTTACTATTACTACGACTACTACTACGACTACGACTACCAGTACGACTACTACTATCACTACTTCTACCACTACTACTACCACTACTACTACTTCTACAACTACTACTGCTACTACTAGTAGTACTACTACTCCTACTGCTACGGCTACTACTACTTCTACTACAACTACTACTACTTCTACCTACTACGACTACGACTACTACTACTACTACTACAGCTACGATTGCGACTACTACTACTGCGACGACGACTACTACTACTACGACGACTACTACTACTTCCACGGCTACTACTACTGCTGCTACTACTACTACTACTACCACTACCAACACTACTACTACGACGACGACGACGACGACGACGACTACTACTACTACTATGTAGTACGACTCGTGCTACTACTTAGCACTATTACTATTACTACTACCACTACTACTACCACTACTACTATTACTACTACTACTACTACGACTACTACTACTACTACTACCAGTACTACGACTACTACGACTACGACTACGACTACGACTACGACTACGACTACGACTACGACGACTACTACTACTACTACTACTACTACTGCTACTAGTTCTACTACTACTACTACTACGACTACTACTACTACTACTACTACCACCTGCTACTACCTGCTACTACCTGCTACAACAACAACAGCAACTACTACTACTACTACTACTACTACTACTACTACTACTACTACTACTACTACGACTACGACTACGACTACTACTACTACTGCTACTATTATTACTACTACTACCACTACTACTACTACTACTACTACTACTACTACTACTACTACTACTACTACTACTACTACTACTACTACTACTACTACTACTCTATTATTACTACTACTATTTCTGAGGGCGCGCCGCTGGATGGCCCCAAGGGGGGGGAACCCCTCCCCCCATTTTCCCGATCCGTCGTCGGGGACCCCCCCCTTCCTCCCTTTCCCGATCCGTCGTCGGGGA